ATTTTTTAAATATATAATTAAGGACTTTCGTTTTTTAAAGCATACGTACACAAAATGGAAGACTGAACAACAAAAACATCTGGAAGTTAGAATGCAGACTGACTGAATGATCTAAAGAAGTTAAATCTCAGCTGGGGAAGGTGGCTCATGCCTGTAATCCCAGCACTTTGGGAGGCCAAGGCAGGTGGATCTCCTGAGGTCAGGAATTTGAGACCAGCCTGGCCAACCCGGTGAAAACCTGTCTCTATTAAAATACAAAAATCAGCCAGGCGTGATGGTGGGTGCCTGTAATCCCAGCTACTCAGGAGGCTGAGGCAGGAGAACTGCTTAAACCTGGGAAGCAGAGGTTGCAGTGAGCCGAGTGGTTGCAATGAGCCGACTCCATGTCACTGCACTCCAGTGTAGGCAACAGAGGGAGACTTAAGGAAAGCAATCTAAAGAACAATACCTCAGAACAGGTTAGGAATTGTTCTACAGAGGTATGTGAACATGATACTAAAAACAAAAGGATTGGTCAAATGATTTAAATATCCTCCCACACTCCACAAAACCAGCCAACTGTCCCTTACTCATCCTTACAAAAACCTGGAGCCTTCCTCTCTAAACTAGAATGACACAGCCCAATAAAATTTCTGCAATGATAGAAATATTCTATATTTACTCTGCCCAATATGGTAGGCTCTCAGCAAATGTGGCCACCAAGCACTTGAAATGTGTCTAGTGCAACTGAGGACCTAAACCTTTAATTATTTAGATTTAAGCTGCTACATGTAGCTAGTGGCTACCATATTGGATAGTGGATTCCTGGACTGGAAAGCTTTTCAACTGGTCCAGCTGAGAATGAGGTCATCTTTCTGAAAACAGTTCAGTTAAATGAACATGAATGAGTGTTTAAATAATGAATGCTAAGACCTCCAGCTTTTCTCTCAATTTAGCAACTAGACAGCTGGAAGCCTGCTTTATACTCTCCAAGCAGGAGATCCCTTCTTCTTTAGGGAATCTGACCCTGGGGCAAAGACAAAAGATACTGCCATTGAAGATTCTCAAATAAAACAGTCCGGTAATTAAAAGCAACTTTCACATGGGTTTCCTTTTCATTTCTGTCCCTGTATTCACAGCCATGCTGTTACGTTTACATTGATCAAATATCAACATTCCTTCAAAGATAAAATGCACACACATATAGGAAATAGAAGTGAGCTTTACATTCTTGTTAGACATTCTCCAACTCCAGGACAGCCCCAAGCCTAAGCAACCCCTTAATAAGTAGCCCAATATTTGGGTGAAAGTTTGCAGCGCAGCCACTGTACAGGTTAACTGAAGCTTCACTATGAAAAAGTTGTATCAGCCAAGTGTGGTGGCTCACACCTGTAATCCTAACACTTTGGGAGGCCGAGGCAGGCAGATTGCTTAAATCAATCTGCATTCCAACTTCCAAATGTTTTTGCTGTTGTTCTGTCTTCCACTTTGTGTACATATGCTTTAAAAAACAAAAACCCTTAACATCTATGTATTTCACTGTATGTAATTTTTTTTTTTTTTTTTTTTTGAGAGAATTTTGATTGTCACCCATGCTGGAGTACAGTGGCCCGATCTAGGCTCACTGCAACCTCCACCACCCAGGTTCAAGCGATTCTCCTGCCCTCAGCCTCCTGAGTAGCTGGGACTACAGGTATGTGCCACCACACCTGGCTAATTTTGTATTTTTAGTAGACAGGGTTTCAGTATGTTAGCAAGGCTGGTCTCAAACTCCTGACCTCAGGTGATCCGCCCACCTCAGCCTCTCAAAGTGTTGGGATTACAGGTGTGAGCCACCACAGCTAGCCGTAATTATATATTTTAAAAATTAAGTTAGCTGGGCATGGTGGCTCATGCCTATAATCCTAGCACTTTGGGAGGCCGAGGTTGGCGACTCACAAAGTCAAGAGATTGAGACCATCCTGGCCAACATGGTGAAACCCTGTCTCTACTAAAAATACAAAATTAGCTGGGCGTGGTAGCGCATGCCTGTAGTCCCAGCTACTCAGGAGGCTAAGGCAGGAGAATCACTTGAACCCCGGAGGCAGAGGTTTCAGTGAGCACTCCAGCCTGGACAACAGAGCAAGATTCCATTTAAAGAAAAAAAATTAAGTTAAAAAAATTCTTCGAAATTTTCATTTCAAGTAGTTCCAGAGTCAGAAGACTGCCTCAAGAGCCAGCAGGTGACTTCTAATCTTTACTTTTTGCTAGGCTGTTACTACTCCATAGCCCTGCTTTGTTTCAATGTTAAATCTGTAGTATCAGTTTAGACTGAAACTGTAACCCTGGGTTCATACCAACCCGTTCATATATACCTCTATTTGTTTCCTGTCAGAAATGTGAAAAGTTTCCTGTCAGAATCTGAAATTCAACATCAATTCATCAACTTCAGAGTTAAGGTATTTCAGACACGAAAATAAAATTTGAGAGATTCAGCTATTTGGTTTTTCAGATACATACCAGGTCTCTGTAGACTCAGTATATTAGACTACCTTTATGTTACCATGACTTTAAATCAGTGACTTTATGATGTCTTTTATCATCTGGTTGTAGAAAATCAACACAAGGTCAAGAGATTGAGGTCATCCTGGCCAACATGGTGAAACCCCATCTGTACTAAAAATACAAAAATCAGCCAGGAGTGGTGCCGAGTGCCTGTGTTCCCAGCTACTTGGGAGGCTGAGGCAGGAGAATTGCTTGAACCTGGGAGGCAGAAGTTGCAGTGAGCTGAGATTGTACCATTGCCCCCAAGCCTGCGCAAAAAGAGCGAAACTCCATATCGATAAAGAAAGAAAGAAAAGAAAACCAACATGCTATAAACATGGTCATCTTAGAGAAAAAAAAAAAGTAGCATCTTTGGAAAATCTGCGATGTAGGGTCCATTTCTGGCTCTACCAATAACAGAGTAGGAATTGCTAAAGCAATGAGAAGGCTACAAAAGAATAATTTGAGAATGAATATATTTCCCTAAAACAGAATGTTCAACTCAGCCTGATGGCCTATTTACCTTAATTTTGAAAATATTACCCATATCCCAAAAAAAGTCATCACAAGAGTTTCATCATAATGGATAAGAAAAGTACATGTCAAACACTGTGACCACCTTATCAGTTGACCCTTCCTAAAGCATCTACCAAAGTCTTTAAATCAGTGACAGAGTACAATTTAACGAAAAGAAAAATGAACTAAAAATTCACAAAGACATGCTTAATATCGAGAATGCCAAGGTGATCCACTTCAATAAGACGTTTGTATGGCAACTAGAGAAACACAGAACCCCCTGTTCTCAAACTCAGCTCCACAGGAATCTGGCTAATAACACAGAGTAAATGGTCATGAATACGAGGATGGAGGGAAAGGCAGGCCTGTGTATACAGCACTGGGTTTATGACAAGCTAGAATGAAGGCAAATTATTGTTAAATTTCAATTTTTCTATGATTTTTGAAGGATTCACATAATAACCTACAAAAAAAAAAAAAAAAAAAAAAAGCCTGATTTATAAAGTGATATAGGCTGAGTGCAGTGGCTCATGTCTGTAATCCCAGCACTTTTGAGAGGCCGACGCGGGCAGACCACTTAAGGTCAGGAGTTCGAGACCAGCCTGGTCAACATGGTGAAACCCGACTCTACAAAAAATACAAAAATTAGCCGGGCGTGATAGCGGGCACCTGTAATCCCAGGTACTCGAGAAGCTAAAGCAGGAGAATCGCTTAAACCCGGGAGGTGGAAGTTGCAGTGAGCGGAGAAGACCGCGCCACTGCACTCCAGCCGGGGCGTCAGAGTGAGACTCTGTCTCGAAATAAATAATTTTTTTAAAAAAAAAAGTAAGACTGAACCAAGGTGCAAATGAAGCCTCCCTCCCTATCACCCTCCTCTACTCTCCTAGAAAAGATCACCTGGGAAAAAGCCATCTTGAGTAAAGATCAAAACTGATTTAAGCCATCCCTCATATAACCAGTAACGTGCTATCAATAAGCGTGAGACATGCAGATGGCTAGGAGACAGTCTCCTTTCTTCCTGATGCTGCCCACCCAAAGCAGAAGCTGCAGTTAGGCTCTGACCACGCAAGAGCCTGGCATGTCCGGGCACCCTTCTCCATAGCAAGCTTAGCTATTCCGGGCAAAATGGGCGGGGTGGGGGGGGACCAGAATTAGGAACCTTTCATGAAGTGTTCTGGATATTCTTAAATTTAATCATATTCTCAAAACATTTCATAATAACGTCTGCTTTCTTCATTTAATTCTCCCAACATTACAATTTATACTGGTAGAAAAAAGTCCCATTTTTACATGCGGCGAAAAAGGTTGAAATGTCTAGCATGAGATGAAAAACACCACCAGACAGCAGGGTAGGATGTCACCTCGTGTATTCTGGCTCTAAGTCCAAAACTCCCACATCCTCTCTGCATCCCTCTTCCCACGACAGAGTGGCCACTGGGCGTAGAGCGGGGGCTGATACCGCCCAGCGCAAACCGAAGGGAAAAGACGGCTCCCGCCGCGCTCATGACCAGCCAGGCTCTCTGGAAATCGGTCCCGGGAGCACGGTGGAAGGAATCAAGGCCAGAAGGAGGCAGGGCAGTCCGAGCAAATAAATAAAAACCCTGGACTTCCAAGGCGGCCGGAGCTGGAAGCCTGTGACAGCCGATTCTCTTCCCAGAGCTTTCAAGACTTCAGGAGGAGCTGGGGGTGTGTGTGTGTGGGGGGGTGGGGTGGGGACGGCGCCAGCTTCCCGGTGCCTCCGCCGCACAGCCCGGTTGGAGCGAGAGCGCAGGACAGCGGCCCCTCGGGACGAGCTCGCGCGCCCCCCCCGGAAAGGCACGCTGTGGCCGGGACGGACCGCGGCCTCCGGCTCCGGCGGGGGGAGGGCGGCTTTCGGCCTCCGGGCCGGGCGCTGAGGTGGCGCGCACCGGCGCCGGAATGGCCAGCCAGCCCAGCCAAGCGATCGCTACGTCCGGCACTCGGCCGCCTGCGCCCCAGCTTACCTGCCCCCTCGCTCCCGGCACCTGTCCCGCCGTCGGCCCCGACGCGGCAGCAGCCTGGACCGCGGGCCCCGCCTTCGCCAGCTCCAGAGGAAGCCCAGCCAGCAAGTAGGCGTCCGGCCTGCTCGCCGCGGCCGCCACCGCCGCCGAGCTTCCTCTGAAGCCGCTGCCGCGACGCTGGCGCTGGCCTACTGCGTCACCTCCTCCGCGCCCTTCCGCCTGCGGGAGGGGTGGTCCTGACACCGCCCCGCTTCCCCTGTTCCCGCCCCGCCTCCCAGCCCGGAGCCGTTCCGCCCTCGCGTGTCACAAAGTCCCCAGCCCCGGTCTCCCTCGGAACGCGCCGGGATGAGAGCCGCGTTCAGGAGCTGCGAAGCGCGTTTGAGACTTCTGTTCAGCCCTTTCTCCAGTTTATAACCTCAGAGGGCGAAATCAGACCGCAGCTAATGTACACCGCTGCCCTTCACTGATCCCGTCACCCCTGCGCCGAAATCCCGTCACCCCATTCCAGCTCTGGACGTTGTGAGGCCTGGCGCAGGCGTCCGTCTCCTCTCTGGTTTTCCCATTGATCTTGCCCCCGGTATCGTGATTGGCCTCTTTATGTGTCCTACCCGCCCCAACTGTGAATGCTTTCCAAAATTATAAGCCAATGTCCTGATAGGTAAAAACATAATAATAGCAGATTTATGGCAGAAGATAAGTTCAGTTTTGGACATACTCAATCTGGAAGAATAAAGAGGTGACTGCAATGGAATACGAAGGGTGTTCCTGAGCACCTGTGTAAGCAATAAAGATAAAAATTGATGGTGGAGAAGATAAAAACTGTAATTGGCCTGGAACGGTGGCTCGCCTGTAACCCCAGCACTTTGGGAGGCCGAGGCAGGCGACTCACAAGTTCAGGAGATCGAGACCAGTCTGGCCAACATGGTGAAACCCCGTCTCGGCTAAAAATACAAAAATCAGAGGGGCGTGGTGGCGCTTGCCTGTAATCCCAACTACTTGGGAGGCTGAGGCAGGCGAATCGCTTGAACCAGAGAGTCGAAGGTTGCAGTGAGCTAAGATCGTGCTATTGCCCTCCAGCCTGGGAACCAGGGAGAGACTCTGTCTCAAAAAAAACAAAACAAAACAAAACAAAACAAACACAAAAAAACCATAGTGAAGCCAACTGCAGGATGGTTTGCTTTTAATTATCGCCATCTGTCAGAAAATTCTAAACAATGTTAATGATAAAGTACTCCTTTCTAAGCAAAAGCTTTGTTTAGTTTTAGTTCTAAACAATTACTGCAATTACTGTTGATTTTTTTTCTTTTTCTTTTTCTTTTTCCCCAGACAGGGTCTTGCTCTTTCGCCAAGCTGGAGTGCAGTGGCACAATCTGGGCTCACTGTAACCTCTGCCTCCTGGGCTCAAGCAATCCTCCCACCTCAGACTCCAGAGTACCTGGGACCACAGGATCCTGCCATGTTGCTGGACTAATTTTTTTAACTTCTTCTTATTATTATTTTTGTAGAGATGATGTCTCCCTTTGTTGCTCAGGTTGGTCTTGAATCCCTGGACTCAAGCAATCCTCCCACCTGGGCCTCCCACAGTGCTGGAATTACAGATGTGAACCACCACGCCTGGCCCTCTCACTTCTTTTTAAGAGTTTCTCTTTGTCAATGATTTTTAGCCATTTATTTTGTGCCCTATCTTGGTTTTCTTTGTATTTATCTGTCTTGGATGTCATTGAGCTTCTCTGATTTGTGGCTTGATGTCTTTCATCAGTTTTGGGAAATTCTCAATCATTATCTCTTCAGATAAGGCTATTGCTGTATTTTCTAAGCCTCTTCTTCAAGACATCAATAACCATATGTAAGATGATGATGATGATGGTGATTATTATTTGAGACAGAGCTTCGTTCCTTTTGCTAAGGCTTGGACGCAATGCTGTGATCTCACTTCACTGCAACCTCCGCCTGCTGGGTTTAAGTGATTTTCCTGCCTCAGCCTCCTGAGTAGCTGGGATTACAGGCACCCAACACCACACCCAGCCAATGTTGTATTTTTAGTAGAGATGGGGTTTCACCATGTTGGCCAGGCTGGTCTTAAATTCCTGACTTCAGGTGATCCACCCGCCTCGACCTCCCAAAGTACTGAGATTACAGGCATGAGCCACCACACCCAGCTCATATGTAAAAATATTTGACCTTGTTCACCATGTCTTTTACACTTTTACTGAGTCTATCTGCTATAATCTCCAACCTGCTGTTAAATCTATACATTGAATTTTTATTTTAAATACTAGATTTTCTGTTTTTTTTTTTGTTTGTTTGTTTGTTTTGTTGTGTTGTGTTTTGTTTTGAGGCAGAGTTTTGCTCTTGTTGCCCAGGCTGGAGTGCAGTGGCACAATCTCGGCTTGCTGCAACCTCTGTCTCCCAGGTTCAAGTGATTCTCCTGTGTCAGTCTCCTGAGTACCTGGGATTACAGGCGCCCATCACCACGTTCAGCTAATTTTTTGTATTTTGAGTAGAGATGGGGTTTCGCCATATGGCCAGGCTAGTCTCAAACTCCTGACCTCAGGCAATCCCCCCCACCTCAGCCTCCCAAAGTGCTGGGATTTCAGGCGTGAGCCACAGTGCCCGGCCTAGATTTTCAGTTTTATAATTTGATTTGTAGCTGGGCACCGTGGCTCACACCTATAATCAGTACTTTGGGAGGTCCAGGTGGGCAGATCGCTTGAGTCCAGAAGTTTGAGACCAGCCTGGGCAACATGGCAAAACCCTGTCTCTACTAAAAACACACACACACACACACACAAATTAGCTGGGAGTGGTGGCATGCACCCTGTAATCCCAGCTGCTCGGGAGGCTGAGGCAGGAGAATCGCTTGAACCCAGAGGTAGAGGTTGCAGTGAGCCAAGATTGCACCACTGCACTCCAGCCTGGCCAACAGAGTGAAACTCTGTCCCAAATAAATAAACAAACAAACGAAATAAAATTTGATTTGTTTTTACAAATTCTTTTTATACATTGTAGTTATCTGTTGAAAGTCTCCAATCTTCTCATCCATTTTAGTTTTTTGTTGTTGCTGTTGTTGTTTTGAGATGGAGTCTCACTGTGTCACACAGACTGGAGTACAGTGGTGCAATCTCGGCTCACTGCAACCTCCGTCTCCCAGGGTCAAGCTATTCTCTTGCCTCAGCCTCTCCCATAACTGGGATTACAGGCCCACACCACCACACCCAGCTAATTTTTGTGTTTTTGTAGAGACGGTTTTACCATGTTGACCAGGCTGGTCTCGAACTCCTGACCTTGTGATCTGCTGTCCTTGGCCTCCCAGAGTACTGGGATTACAGGCATGAGCCACCACATTGGGCCCTAGGTTTTTAATAGAAAAACCTTGTAGATCTTTGTCTCCTCAATCCTGAAAGACTATAGGACTTTCAGTTCATCCCTTTAGAGACTTTGAGCTTAGTTTAACATTGAGCTTAGCTTCTAGCTTATTCAGCTTCAAAATAGGAGAAATATCTTGAGAGAGATACTAGCCATGAGTTTGAGGAAGCCATATCCTTCTAATGGGGCTTTGTTTCCTAAACACAATGATTTTACTTTTGAAAAGTTTTGAGCCAATCCCTGAGCCTCCCAAGCAGGTCTTCAACTCAGCAAATATCCCACATGAAAAAATCAACCATGCTTTGGGACTTATCTAATTTTCAATCAGTTCAGTAACCCCAAACGACCACAAAGCTCTTCTGGGTTTTCTTTGTCCCAAAAAACTCCTCTGCCTATGTTAAGAGTGATCTAAAATTAGCAAATGTTTCCACAAAAGAAAACAGCTAGTTATTATCAATTCACCTTGGAAGGGCTTCTTCTTGTCTGGAATTTTAGTTTACTTAATCCTTGAAGCCAGGTATAGTGGTTTATATCTATAATCCAAGCACTTTGGGAAGCCAAGGTGGGAGTTTTGCGGGAAATCAGGGAACCAAAGAGACCTATGAGGTTTTAGGAGGATTTATTTAAGGCAGGCATCCCCAAACTTTTTACACAGGGGGCCAGTTCACTGTCCCTCAGACCGTTGGAGGGCCGCCGCATACTGTGCTCCTCTCACTGACCACCAACGAAAGAGGTGCCCCTTCCTGAAGTGCGGCAGGGGGCTGGATAAATGGCCTCGGGGGCCGCATGCGGCCCGCGGGCTGTAGTTTGGGGACGCCTGATTTAAGGTGTACAGAGGCTCAGTGGATTTGCATCCAAAGGACTGAGCATCGGACAAAGAGGGCAAGTGCCTTTTATGCATCTAAGGGTGTGAAAAGAAGCAGGCTTACAGAAGCAAGAACAAAAGCAGTTAATCAATAATACAGTGACAGGCTTACACATGACTCTTGGTATGTGTGCCAGGTGGCCTTATCTCAAACCTAGGCTAGTTCAGAGTGACCTCCTTTCTGATGTCTAGGGAGCCATCCTGTTTGGACATTTCTCATGGCCTTCACTGTGTTATTTAGATAGAAAACAGGCTTGCAATACACAGATATCTATAAATTCTTAGGCTTACTCATATCATGCGGGTAGGGATGTGGGAGAAAATTTATGCTTTCCTCCAGATGGTGAGGGACTATTGGGAAAGTCTTCAGAGCACATTCACTTAAGTTCTGGCTTCTGAGATAACGATATCAAAGCTCCTGCAGAGCCTGGGCTTACAGACTGTCTTCAATTTAACACAAAGAACTTACTTTTATGTGACTTTATTTATTCTTTTATTTCCCTGCCTCATTCCCCCTGTTGATGCTTCCTGTGAGTAAAAACTCAATAGAAAGCATCACTTCTATTTAGTTCTTCATGACGGGGTGGGTCTTCTGTTGTAGGCAAAGACTGATATTTCATAGGAGCCATCAGTCAGGTTGCGGTTGTTTTGTCTACGAAAACTTCTGTAGTAGCCTGAATGCTTCTAATAAGGGGCAAGAGATGAGAGTATTAAGCAATTCCCTAATATAGCCAGCATTACTCCTATTAATGTTTTAAAACCACCAAAGGGTGAAAACCAACCTCCAAAAAGGGAATCTGGAAACCATCTGGGTTTCCAAGTCTGAACTGGAACATGAGCTAATTTTTGCATCTTCGCAGTAATTTCCATGATAGTTTTTCTATTATCATCAATTTCTAAGCAACAGTTAGTTAAGTTGAACTTTCCACATACTCCTTCTTCCTGGGCAAGGAGATTCTAAAGCTAGCCTATTCTGGTAATTGTATTCCTCA